TGTACTATATGTGTTTTAGAATAATAAAACTTCAAGAGTGAGATAATGTATTTTATATTATGAGTTAGAATAATATATTTTATAAATTAGAATAATTTACATTTATGCTTTAGGATAATGTACATTATGAGTTATAAAAATGTATATTGCACCGAGTCACGTGAAAAAAGATAAAATAAAAAAAATAAAAAATTACGCGAAACAACGTTGTTTTTGAATTGTGGTCTTACACAGCTCCACGCAGGCAAATTATGCTGTGCATCCGAATGCACCATGCATGGTGCATACGGATGCGAAAACGACGTCGTTTTAATAAAACGCGTGTCTCCCCTTAAAAAAAAAAATCAGGTTCGATTCCCAGCAATAACATATGAACTAAAATTCCATAATCGATGAACTATAATTCCATAATCGATGAACTACAATTCCATAATCGATGAACTATAATTCCATAATCAATGAACTATAATTCCATAATCTATGAACTAAAATTCCAGAATGAATGAACAATATAATGTTATTGCTGGCAATTGAACCTGAATTTTTTTTTTTAAGGAGAGACACGCATTTTTTAATAAAACAACATCGTTTTGGCATCCGTATGCCCCATGCATGGTGCATACGGATGCACAGCATAAGTATCCCTCCACGCAATAACCGATTACACAAATAATGCACGTTGCATATACAATATATATGCTATGCAGCCCAAAATTCTTAAAACTAAATTAAAGCTGACATACTTGACCAAAAATGGTGCGCGACGACTGAAAGTAACATCTCAGTTTGTTTACCCTTTTTTCTCCAATCATATGTATTATCCTCCGTGACCGTTCTATTCATATTTTAGACCTTCTTTACAATAATTGCATATATTTAAAAACATAATAAGTCTCAATCAAAGTTATCTCCCTCATTTATGTTCATGTTTTTAATGTTAATCATTTTGTACATTGTGCATTTAGAGTTGTACTATATAATTTTTTGGACAAAAATATCCCTACCGTTATAACTTCCTTTATCTTTTACATTATTGTTACCATGCACATGCATCCACTATATATTTTATTATATTCTTTAATGATAATAATATTTGTAGACATTATATATTAGATTATTATATAAATTTGATTTCATATAGATTTTAATTAGTAGGCCTTTGTTAGTTATTTTTTAAAAAATATAAATATTAGGCATACGTTTTTGCGAAACCCGCATAGAAAAGACTAGTCTCATTTATATAGGTATAAATCAGAAGCACACTCACACGGTGACACCTCATTTATATAGATATAGAAGCACATGCACTCACACCCCATTTTCTCGTAAATTAAAGAAATATATCCACTTGAGAGTTTGTTCCCACTGATTTAAAAAAAAAAAAAAAAGAAAAAAAAAAGATCAATCTCGACCGTTTATCTAAAAGATTTAATAGATTTGATGCAAATTGAAAAAAAATGTGATAACATTCTTGTAATTTTCTCTAATTTGAAAAGTGTAATTTTTAACAATAACGAGTATAATTATATTTTTAACCATATAAGTATATTTCTAAAAAACCCTAAAACATAAACCAAAAAAATAAACTTCTAAACCTAAACCATAAATATCAAACCCTAAACAATAAAATATGAACCCATAAACCAAACTAGAAAATGAAACACTAAATCACACTAAAAAACAAAACCATAAATTTTAAAAGGTAAACCTCGAGTAAATTGGACTTTCAAATTGGCTAAAATGCATGATATTGTATTACACAAGTGAGCGATATAATGTTGGAAAATGTATTTTTAAAGTTGAAAAAAATTACTAAAATGCCATAATAATTTTTTTTCCATCTTTGTTATAAAATCGTTAGATATGACCAGATGAGCGACTAAAATTGATTATTATTATTTTTTTTTTCATGAAAACGAGTTCTCATTTGGATCTTTTTCTTTTATATATATATATATATATATATATATATATATATATATATATATATATATATATATATATATTGGTTCCTGTGAGAATAAGTCTTCTAGTGTGGTCAGTGCGGCATACACCATTAGGTATGCATAAATGCATCATACAATGTTCGAGAATACACCAGAATAAAATGCAAAAAAATGCACCACACAAAAAAAAAAAAAAAAAAACACCACATAATGGTGTATTTTCGAACACTGTGTGGTGCATTTATGCATACCTAATGGTGTATGCCGCACTGACCGTACGGGAAGACCCTGTTCTCACAGGAACCTGTATATATATATATATATAGAGGGATGCACTCAGGTGCAAATAAGTGCTCAGGAGGGAATATGCGAACGAATCCGCGCGCGACACGTGTCCAGATCTAATAGATTAAAGCAAACGCGGTGGCATTCTCATAAATAATTGAACATCGAAGTGCAAGTAAAATCACTTACAAGTGCACATACTTTCACCTATAAGTGCATGTAATTTTGCCTTGTTAACATTCATTTCCCGCAAACATTCATGCACCTGGGTGCACCTACTTATAACTATAGGTGCAACTACTTATAACTATAGGTGCAACTACTTATAACTATAGGTACACCTACTTTCACCTATAAGTGCATGTGATTTTGCCTTGTTAACATTCACTTCCCACAAACATTCATGCACCTAGGTGCACCTACTTATAACTATAGGTGCAACTACATATAACTATAGGTGCACTTAGTATTGATGCTCAGTGTAAATTTTACTTGCACCTATAATACATTTTACATGCACTTGTAATACATTTTACTTGCACTTCGATGTTCAATTATTTACGAAAATACCACCGCATTTTTTTTTAATCCATTAGATCTGAACACATGTCACGCGCTTATTCGTTCGCATATTCCCTCCTGGGCGCTTCATCTGTATAGCTAGCTAGTATAACACATAATATAGTTAACCCAACATAAATGAGTTACTAATAAACACATAGTGTAATTTCAACGTTTGAATAGAGCAAAAGCTCTTACCAAAGATCTTGTGGTCAAACGGCATAACTGTGGCTGTACAAATTCAAATCTTAATGAGGACATTGACTCTTTCTGCTTCAATAGGTTCAGAAAGTATATTCTTCCAAAATAAAAAAAAAATTAAATTAAATCTTATGTGAAATGATAAATACAAGCTCTCTATGATTCTGCTCTCTAGTCAACCGGAGAAACAACGAATGTTCGGCGGCACCAAGGAGGAGGTCGATCTACTCCAGCGCAGTACTAAGAAAACGAAACGTGCTTTGCTGGAAAACGCAGGCGATACCATGGAGACAATGCAGAGGAACAAGCTGCGGGGGATCCAGTACTGAAAATCTGATGAACTCAACGCCGCTGCAAACTGGCCAGACCGCCTGGACACAACCAATGTCTTTCAGAAAGGCTCTCACTGGCATTGAAGATAAGGAGAACACAAATGAGGATGTATCAGACGATGAAGCGGGGGAACAGGACGATGACGATCCAGAATGCCCAGTCATAACGCTCACGAAGGATGAGAAACTGAGGATGCGGAAGAGATGGGAAAACACCTTGATCATCAAGGTCCTGGGTAAAACGGTGGGCTACAACTACTTGCTGAAACGCTTATGTACCATCTGGAATCCGAATCTGGAATGGACCTGATCGCCATTCAAAATGGATACCATTTGGTTCGATTTGATCATCAAGGTCCTGGAAGGCCCGTGGACGTTCATCGATCATTGCCTGGCAGTGAAGGAGTGGGAGCCCAATTTCGATCCGATGAGGGATGAAACGCAAAGACTCCTTGTTTAGATCAGAGTCCCATGTCTTCCTATAGAATATTACGACTATGAGTTTTTAATGAGGCATGGAAACAAAGTAGGAACTGCCATCAAGGTTGATCGAACGACAAGTATGACCTTTCGTGGATTATTTGCAAGGATATGTGTAGAAGTGGATATCACTAAGCCACTCATCGCCAGATTCACACTCAGAAATAAGAGGAGGACTGTGGAATATGAATGCCTGCACTTAGTTTGCTTTCGATGTGGAATGGTGGGTCATAGAAAAGAAGCATGCAATCTGGCCGGAATTCATAGCGAAAATGGAACACCGGAAAAGGACGGCGAGGCGTCGGGAGATGATGGCGGTGAATCGAGGACAGAGGCCGGGAAGGCAACAGAAAATGAAGGTGGACAAACATGGAAAGATAGCAGAAATAGTACGAGTAATCAGGGGAAAAAACAATCTTTGGGTGATAAACTAGGATCTTGGATGATTGCCCAAAAAGGGCAATTAAGGCCTTACCAAAACAGAGGAGATCCTAAGAAGTATCAAAGGAAACTACAGAATGAGAGAGGAGAATCATCTAAAACGGGAAATGGAGGAAATCAAGGAAATAAGAACAGCAACTTTAATAAGGATAATTTTAGGATGTGGACCAATTCCAGATTTGGGGATATTGAAGCTACGGATGAAGATTTTGACCTTGAAGCCCAGCAAGAGGATGAGGCGTGGGAGCGGCCCGATGGACCAACCGACGCTATTTTATCAGGAAGGGGCAAAAGACCGCAAGTCCAGATAACAGAGGCCCAAATAAGGAACGATGCAAATGACAAAAACAAAGGAAAAGGAAAAGAGATAGCAAATATTGCAACCAGGGAGTCTGAACAAGGGGGCACGACGAGAAATAGAAGGCAGTCCAGGCAAGCAGCAGAGTCGGAGGAACACGTGGTAATAAGAGGGTCAAGAAGGGGAAACTTAGTAACCAGGACTACGATATCGGAGGATGGATGGGTCACCGAAGAAGTCCAAAATCACGAGCAAGGAGGGGAACATCATCAAGATCCCCCCCCAAGGACATATAAATGGTCAGGAAAATGATCCAGGAGATCCTATGAGTGAAGAAGAAGGTGGGACAGGCCAGCTGCAGGCTGGTGAGGGTTCGACCTCTTTGTAGGCCTTCCCTTTTGTGTTTCTTTTTGCTGTTGAGTGTTCTTTTGGGCTCGCGCTTTTGTTGTGTGTCCCATGAATATTGTCAGTTGGAACTGTCAGGGAGCGGCGTCTAGCGGCTTTAGACGGGCGCTTCACATGTTGGTTAGAAAACACGAAGTGGATGTGGTGGGATTGCTTGAACCAAGGATTTCTGGCAATTCTGCGGACAAGGCTTGCAAGAGCTTTGGCTTTGAAAACTGGATCCGTGTGGAAGCCGTAGGGTTTAGCGGGGGAATATGGATCCTCTGGAATGATGGAGTTAGGGTGGAAATTGTCGCCACTAATCCCCAATATATTCTAACAAGAATCGGTAAGAACAATAAAAACTTTGGTATTGTGTCGTTCGTCTACGGGAGTCCATCGAGCTGCTATAGGAAAAAGCTGTGGGAGGGACTGTCGACCGACAACTTTCATATGCATGAGGGTTGGCTTGCAGTGGGAGACTTCAATGCAGTGACATGCATGGAGGACGTGAGCAACCAGCAAAATTTCAGCAATCACAGATGCGTAGGTATGAACGAATGGATTTTTAAAGAAGGTTTAATTGATATGGGTTTTGTTGGTCCCAGGTTCACTTGGACGCGAGGTAGGGAATCAACAACTTTCACCGGAGCGAGATTGGACCAGGCTCTATGTAATCTGGATTGGATCACGCAACACCCGGGAACAAAAGTATCGCACATAACCCGAGTGTGCTCCGACCACTCACCCCTCTTGATCGAATTAGGGAGGAAAATGGAGACGCCTAAGGGACCTGGCTTTCTCTTCCAAGCAGCTTGGACGATACATGAGGGGTTTAGGCAAGTAACGGAGGATTGCTGGGACTGTGACAAGCCTATCATGGAAAATATACACAGCATGCAAGCCGGATATGAGGAGTGGAATACAGTAGTATTCGGGAATATTGAAAAACGTAAGAGGAAGCTCATGTCCAGAATTGATGTCATTCAAAGGGCCATGGGCTGCCAACCAACGAATGGACTCATCAAGCTTGAAAGGAAACTGAGGTCCGAACTAGAAGAAACACTCCACCAAGAAGAGATAAAATGGTTACAAAAATCAAAAGAGGACTGGATTCAATCCGGGGATCGGAACACACGTTTCTATCATGCGGCAACGAAGGTTAGACAAACAAGAAACAAAGTACATGGCCTCAAGAATGACAAAGATGAATGGGTCCATGACAGAAAGGCAATTGAAGTAATGATTCTAAGCTACTACAAATTACTGTACGCACGAGAGGACAGGGATTTTAATTTCGAAGTTTGCACTAGTAAGTTCCCAATCATCGATGAAAGGAAATGAAGCATAGTTAATTCCAAACTGACAAAGGAGGAAGTTAAAGAGGCTCTCATGGAGATGGCCCCGCTAAAGGCACTGGGCCCGGACGGCTTCCACACTATGTTCTACCATCAATCGTGGAATATTGTGGGGGATAGCCTTTTCAAATTGGTAGCTGACTTCTTCATTAGGGGTACACTTCCGGATGGGCTCAATGAAACCAACTTGGTTCTCATCCCAAAGGTACAAAATCCGGAAAAAATAGCACAGTTGAGACCAATAAGCCTATGCAACGTAGCCTACAAACTTATCACTAAAGTTATGGAAAACAGACTCAAAACCGTCATGCAGGATCTTGTTAGCCCGAACCAGTGTTGTTTTGTCCCCAACAGGCAAATAACAGACAATATTGTGATATATCATGAGATCCTACATACTAGTCGTACTCAAAAGAGCCAGTCGGGGATCATGATCCTCAAAATTGACCTCGAAAAAGCCTATGACATACTGGACTGGGGGTTTATACGGTCCACTCTAAGGGAAGTGGGTCTCAACAATGATTGGGTCAGGAATATCATGAATTGTGTCGAAACTGCGGGGATGTTAATATTATGGGAAGGCAAGAATTTGGATAGATTCAAACCAGAGAGAGGAGTTAGACAAGGAGATTCCATCTCTCCTTATCTTTTTGTACTTTGCATCGAAAGGCTCAGACATATTATTACAGAGGCGGTCACTCAAGGTCTTTGGAAAGGCGTGAAAGCCTCTAGAAATGGACCAACAATATCTCACATGTTCTTTGCAGATGATATGGTCCTGTTTGCTAAAGCCGAGGAAAGCCAAATAAGAACAATCATGGATTGCCTGGACAGGTTTTGTAAGTTTTCTGGTCAGAAGATTAATAAAATGAAATCGAATATTTTCTTTTCTACTAATGTTTGCAGGGAGAAAGCGAATGTCTTAACAAATGTAGCTGGCATCCCCGAGACCACAGACCTGGGAAGATACCTTGGGGTCCTGTCACTTCACGGAAGGATCACTAAAGACCATTGCAAGAGTATAATGGACCGAGTCCAAAGTAAGCTGGAGGGGTGTAAAACGCATTTCCTTAGCCTAGCAGGAAGGCAAGTTTTGGCACAATCGGTTCTTAATGGGATTCCCTAGTATGCTATGCAAACAATTCTCCTACCCAAAGGAGTATGCCACGCGATAAACAAAACAACGAGGTCCTTTCTCTGGGGAGGTGACGGCACCAAGCGAAAACCAAGTTTAGTCAAGTGGAGCACGATTACGCTGCCTAAGGAAGGAGGTGGCTTGGGAATTAAATCTATGAGGAACATGAATCTCTCCCTCCTAGCCAAGCTTGGATGGCGCATCTTGAAGGGCGGAGAGAATACGTGGGCCAGAGTTATTGCCTGCAAATATATGAAGAAGGGTAACTACATTGAAAACATGAAACGCAAACGCATGGATTCCAATGTGTGGAAAGGAGTCTGCGCTGCCACCCCCTTACTAGAAAGAGGTATTAGAAAAATAGTGAGGAATGGCAGGGAGACTCGTTTTTGGACAGATCGATGGCTAGGAAATGAGCCTCTTCGGAACAGTCTTATAGGGCCCCTCAACAAAAATGCAGAAGATTTGAGGGTAGCGGATGTCCGCATTGGGCTTAGACAAGAAGCACGTAACGCGATTGCGGCGAAGGTTATTCTAAATGATGATAGCAAGAAAGATGTCATAGGATGGGGTCTGGAGGAGAACAACACCTTCTCGGCAAGAACAGCCTATGGGCTGCTAACACCAGAACATGGAAGTTCGGAGCCAAAAGAGTGGAGGGCGGTCTGGAGTCTTCGAGTTCCAAACAAAATAAGATCCTTCATTTGGCTTTTTAAGCAAGGACGAATCATGTGCAACTCGGAGAGATTCAAATGTGGGTTTACAAGAGAAGAGCGATGTAGCCTCTGTGGGTCTGACAAAGAAGATGTTGATCACACCGTTAGGAAATGCCCAACAGCGGCGGAAGTCTGGGAGAGAAGCAACTGCATCAACAATTCAGGTATGTTCTTCTCAATGGATTTTGACAAGTGGCTGACTCATAACCTTGCAGGTACTCAAGGTGATATGAAGCGGAAGAAGAAGAGTGCAAAATTCGCCATTACAACTTGGTGGATTTGGCGTTGGAGAAATAACTACATCTTCAGTGCCGGGGAGGTGGACATAAATGACAAGATGAGGACTCTCAATCGACAAATCGAGGACATCGAGAAAGCGCTTGACAAGAGTCTATGACCAGGGTGATAGGACGCAACCAACCTTGGAAGCCACCGGAGATCAGCTGGATCAAATTAAATACAGATGGATGCATTGGAAAGCAAAACAGAGCTGCATGCGGAGGGGGTCTTTAGAAATGCAGATGCTGAGTTCTTAGGCGCTTTCTCCAAACAGATTAGCACTTGCTGTAACACCCCGTGTTACGGCCTTCAATCCTGGATTAATTATTTAATTAATTCCGTTAATAATAATTAAAAAGGATTTAATTTGGCTAGGATTCTCTTTAATTAATTAATGTGGTCCACCATGGATCGTGGACCCTTGCCTAAACTAGAGTCTTAAGCCTATTAGGAATAAAGAAAGTAAACCTTTTACTAATCAGATTCTAATTAGGAATCCTAGACCTAATTATCTATTAGAAATGAAGAAAGTAGGCCTTTACTATTCAGATTATGATTAGGATTCCTGATGCTATAAATAAGGGATTAGAAAGCATTAGAACCCTCCCATAGTTATATTACACAAAAGTATTCCCAAGGGGTTCCCCACCACCAAGCCTAGGGAGATCAATCGGATGGAAGAACCTTAATAGCCAAGGGAGGATTAATTAAGGCTAAGAGGTAACTCATGTCTCAACAAAACCTATTTTCCTTGCTATGATCTCCTTCTTTGGCTCCCTCTATATACTTGTGTCTTGATGAATTCCTTTATGTTATTCGTGATATAATCATGTTGATTGATGTGATGATTTTATGTGCGATCTTGATGATCTTGATGATCTTGATGTTAAAAAGAGGTTCTTGATATTTATGTGATGATTCTTGATGAAATCTTGATGTTTTTTGATGATAGAAATAAAATATGATTTTTATGAATTGGATGGGATTAGAGCCCTAGGTTGGTTTGGGAATTGTATTGTGATGTTCTTGATTTGTATTTGGGTGGGAATTGGCATACTCGGGTATTGTTCGTGCCTAGAAATCATGTTAGGATATGTTCAATATGATTCTTGCTTTGGATCTATTAATTGCCTATGTGGTGTCGTTAATTGCATTTAAAAGTGTCTAAGCATGGTTTCGGGTTCCACAAAGGATCCCGGGACGTTTATTTGAGTTAAAGAGTCAGTGGGGGGTAGGTGGGGCAAGGGTACCCGCCACCTACCCGCTACCCGAGTTTTACCGCCAAGCAGCGGGCAGCCGGCGGGCAGGCATTTGCCCGCCGACTACCCGCTGCCCGGAAGTTCACCACTGGCGGGTGACCCGCACCCATCGATTACCTGTTGGTCCGTACCCATCCCGGGTCCTCGGCTTCCCCGTTTGATGTTCCACATTCCCCGTGGTGTCCCAACGGACGCCGTTTGTTGTGCTTGAGTCTAGTTTGATGTTTCGGGTGCCATTCGTAGGTTAGAAGAGTCTTAGGAATTACATGCTAGTTGAATCGGTAACCCGTCGACCTAGGTGGAAGTTGTATGAACCCCTTAAGACTATTCTTAGTATGTGAATGATCACGCGTAAGCTTATTTATATGTCTCCTCCTTCCCAATGTGCTATTATGTGCTACAATTTGTTATGTGATGCATGACTCCCCTATTTGGTTGCGATCAAATTGGCTATACGGGCAGTTGGATGGGTTGAGAACCATACCAACTGTTAACCAGGCCGGTTGCGCGGTCAGGTATATAAATATAATATAGGGCTGCGGTCCACTGTTTGGTTGTACATGAGCTGCGGTTCATTTTCCTGGCTGCGGTCAGTGATTCACTTCTTGGGCTACAGCCCACGGGCCTCGTGTGCGGATGGTCCACCGACTGGACGCGCCAGCGGTGTGTAGGACCACCAGCCTGAGGAAGCCCATAGCCCACCGAATGAGTGATCAGACGGTGTGTAGGGCTATGGTTGGCTACGATCCACCGAGTGAAGGGCCAGCGGTGTGTAGGATCGTAGTCTCCGAGGATCTTCGCCCACCGAGTGAGTCCCTCAGTGGTGTGTAGGGCTTGATTCGCTACGATCCACCGACTGTGCTCATCAACGGTGTGTAGGGTCGTAGTTCCCAAAAGAGGATCGCAGTCCACTGACTGAGCGCGTGAGCGGTGTGTAGGGCTGTTATCCGCCGTCGAGCTTTCGGCGGCCTGTACGGTTGGTTGCGATAACCCCTTCATGCTGCGGTATGAGGTAGGGTGCTGCGGGGCCATGTTAGTGCTATACGCACTAACCCGCATGTTCGGGGCATGTGATTGGTCCCGTGGCGCCACCAAAGTGTGTTTATGTGACTCGAATGATGATTTAAATGATGATGATTTGAATGATGACTTGAATGACGAATGAATGATGATTGAATGATGATGTGGATAATTCGAAAGTAAACTGTGACCTTAGTTACATGTTCTTTATAATGTTGTCTCTGTATAACTGTTTATCATAATTGAATGTGCTTACCCTTACTTGCTGAGTCTGTCTCTAATTTTAAAGCTAGAGTCCCCTAAGTATATCTCTTCCTGCTTCAAAATGGTTTTCGTATATATATATATATATATATATACCTATATTGTATTTCAACGCGTTGGAGTGGGTTACCAGCATCATTCGCTGAACAGATATATTTGGCTTTCAGGCATAGATGAGTAGACACCGGAGCGCGCTAGAGGACCGGAGCGTAGACTAGTTAGTTTCCCTTTCGGCCTGCGTGCCATGATTATGTATTGACATTGCTTTGAGGTTGTTTAGTTAGTTTAGCCTGTGCATCTGAGTTTTCCAGCC